TATTCACTCCTTTACCACTATATATATCGTACCCTATACTTCACCATTACACTTCTCAACCACTATATATCACGTGTCATGTACTTCACCATCTCGTTCCTCCACCACTATATATCACGTGCCCTATACTTCACTATTTACTCCTCCACCACTATATATCACGTGTCCTATACTTCACCATTACACTCCTCTACCACTATATATCACGTGCCCTATATTTCACTATTCACTCCTTTACCACTATATATATCGTACCCTATACTTCACCATTACACTTCTCAACCACTATATATCACGTGTCATGTACTTCACCATCTCGTTCCTCCACCACTATATATCACGTGCCCTATACTTCACTATTTACTCCTCCACCACTATATATCACGTGTCCTATACTTCACCATTACACTCCTCTACCACTATATATCACGTGCCCTATATTTCACTATTCACTCCTTTACCACTATATATATCGTACCCTATACTTCACCATTACACTTCTCAACCACTATATATCACGTGTCCTGTACTTCACCATTTCGTTCCTCCACCACTATATATCACGTGCCCTATACTTCACTATTCACTCCTCCACCACTATATATCACGTGTCCTATACTTCATCATTACACTCCTCTACCACTATATATCACGTGCCCTATATTTCACTATTCACTCCTTTACCACTATATATATCGTACCCTATACTTCACCATTACACTTCTCAACCACTATATATCACGTGTCATGTACTTCACCATCTCGTTCCTCCACCACTATATATCACGTGCCCTATACTTCACTATTTACTCCTCCACCACTATATATCACGTGTCCTATACTTCACCATTACACTCCTCTACCACTATATATCACGTGCCCTATATTTCACTATTCACTCCTTTACCACTATATATATCGTACCCTATACTTCACCATTACACTTCTCAACCACTATATATCACGTGTCATGTACTTCACCATCTCGTTCCTCCACCACTATATATCACGTGCCCTATACTTCACTATTTACTCCTCCACCACTATATATCACGTGTCCTATACTTCACCAGTACACCTCTCAACCACTATATATCACGTGTCCTGTACTTCACCATTACATTCCTCCACCACTATATATCACGTGCCCTATACTTCACTATTCACTCCTCCACCACTACAGTATATATCACGTGTCCTATACTTCATCATTACACTCCTCTACCACTATATATCACGTGCCCTATATTTCACCATTCACTCCTTTACCACTATATATCACGTACCCTATACTTCACCATTACACTCCTCCACCACTATATATCACGTGCCCTATACTTCACTATTCACTCCTCCACCACTATATATCACGTGTCCTATACTTCATCATTACACTCCTCTACCACTATATATCACGTGCCCTATATTTCACTATTCACTCCTTTACCACTATATATATCGTACCCTATACTTCACCATTACACTTCTCAACCACTATATATCACGTGTCATGTACTTCACCATCTCGTTCCTCCACCACTATATATCACGTGCCCTATACTTCACTATTTACTCCTCCACCACTATATATCACGTGTCCTATACTTCACCATTACACTCCTCTACCACTATATATCACGTGCCCTATATTTCACTATTCACTCCTTTACCACTATATATATCGTACCCTATACTTCACCATTACACTTCTCAACCACTATATATCACGTGTCATGTACTTCACCATCTCGTTCCTCCACCACTATATATCACGTGCCCTATACTTCACTATTTACTCCTCCACCACTATATATCACGTGTCCTATACTTCACCATTACACTCCTCTACCACTATATATCACGTGCCCTATATTTCACTATTCACTCCTTTACCACTATATATATCGTACCCTATACTTCACCATTACACTTCTCAACCACTATATATCACGTGTCATGTACTTCACCATCTCGTTCCTCCACCACTATATATCACGTGCCCTATACTTCACTATTTACTCCTCCACCACTATATATCACGTGTCCTATACTTCATCATTACACTCCTCTACCACTATATATCACGTGCCCTATATTTCACTATTCACTCCTTTACCACTATATATATCGTACCCTATACTTCACCATTACACTTCTCAACCACTATATATCACGTGTCATGTACTTCACCATCTCGTTCCTCCACCACTATATATCACGTGCCCTATACTTCACTATTTACTCCTCCACCACTATATATCACGTGTCCTATACTTCACCAGTACACCTCTCAACCACTATATATCACGTGTCCTGTACTTCACCATTACATTCCTCCACCACTATATATCACGTGCCCTATACTTCACTATTCACTCCTCCACCACTACAGTATATATCACGTGTCCTATACTTCATCATTACACTCCTCTACCACTATATATCACGTGCCCTATATTTCACCATTCACTCCTTTACCACTATATATCACGTACCCTATACTTCACCATTACACTCCTCCACCACTATATATCACGTGCCCTATACTTCACTATTCACTCCTCCACCACTATATATCACGTGTCCTATACTTCATCATTACACTCCTCTACCACTATATATCACGTGCCCTATATTTCACTATTCACTCCTTTACCACTATATATCACGTACCCTATACTTCACCATTACACTCCTCCACCACTATATATCACGTGCCCTATACTTCACTATTCACTCCTCCACCACTATATATCACGTGTCCTATACTTCATCATTACACTCCTCTACCACTATATATCACGTGCCCTATACTTCACCATTTCACTCCTTTACCACTACAATTACATTTCTTTGCTTCACCATTTCACTCCTCTATCACTATACATCACGTGTCCTATACTTCAATATTCACTCCTCTACCACTATTTATCACGTGCCCTATACTTCATCATTACACTCCTCTACCACTATATATCACGTGTCCTATACTTCACCATTACACTCCTTTACTACTATATATCACGTGCCCTATACTTCACCATTCACTCCTCTACCACTACACAACACATGTCTATACTTCATCATAACACTCTTCTACCACTATTTATCACGTGCCCTATACTTCATCATTACACTCCTCTACCACTATATATCACGTGTTCTATACTTTACCATTACACTCCTTTACGACTATATATCACGTGCCCTATACTTCACCATTACACTCATCTACCACTATATATCACGTGTCCTATACTTCACCATTACACTTCTCCACTACTATATATCACGGCCCTATACTTCACTATTCACTCCTTTACCACTACACAACACATGTCTATACTTCACCATTAAAATCCTCTACGACTATACAACACAAGTCTATACTTCACCATTCACTCCTCTACCACTATATATCACGTCCCTATACTTCACAATTCACTGCTCTACCACTATACATCACGTGCCCTATACTTCCCCATTCACTCCTCTACCACTACACAACACACGTCTATTCTTCACTATTCACTCCTTTACCACTACACAACATATGTCTATACTTCACTATTCACTCCTCTACCACTATATATCACGTGCCCTATACTCCACCATTCACTCCTCTACCACTACACAACACACGTCTATAATTCACCATTCATTCCTTTACCACTACACAACATATGTCTATACTTCACTATTCACTCCTCTACCACTATATATCAAGTGCCCTATACTTCACCATTCACTCCTCTACCACTACACAACACATGTCTATAATTCACCATTCACTCCTTTTCCACTACACAACATATGTCTATACTTCACCATTAAATCATCTTCCACTATACAACACAAGTCTATACTTCACTATTCACTACTCTACCACAATATATCACGTGCCCTATACTTCACCATTCACTCCTTTACCACTACACAACACATGTCTATACTTCACCGTTACCCTCCTCCACTACTATATATCACGGCCCTATACATCACCATTCACTCCTTTACCACTGCACAACACATGTCTATACTTCACCATTAAAATCCTCTGCCACTATACAACACACGTCTATACTTCACCATTCACTCCTCTACCACTATATATCACGGCCCTATACTTCACAATTCACTGCTCTACCACTATATATCACGTGCCCTGTACTTCACCATTCACTCCTCTACCACTACACAACACACGTCTATACTTCACCATTCACTCCTTTACCACTACACAACACATGACTATACTTCACTATTCACTCCTCTACCACTATATATCACGTGCCCTATACTTCCCCATTCATTCCTTTACCACTACACAACACACGTCTATAATTCACCATTCACTCCTTTACCACTACACAACACACGCCTTTACTTCACCATTCACTCCTTTACCACTACACAACACATGTCTATACTTCACTATTCACTCCTCCACCACTATATATCACGTGTCCTATACTTCATCATTACACTCCCCTACCACTACACAACACCCATTTACTCCTCCACCACAATATATCACATGTCATATACTTCATCATTACACTCCTCTACCACTATATATTACGTGCCCTATACTTCACCATTACACTAATCCACCACTATATATCACATGTTCTATACTTCATCATTACACTCTCCTACCACTACACAACAACCATTTACTCCTCCACCACAATATATCATTTCCTATACTTCACCATTAGACTCCTCTACCCCTATATATTACGTGTCCTATACTTCACCATTACATTCCTCCACCACTATAAATCACTCGTTCTATACTTCACCATTACACTCCTTTACCACTACAATTACATGTCTATGCTTCACCATTTCACTCCTCTATCACTATATATCACGTGTCCTATACTTCACCATTCACTCCTCTACCACTACTCAACACACGTCTATACTTCATCATTACACTCCTCTACCACTACTTTACTACTATATATCACGTGCCCTATACTTTACCATTCACTCCTCTACCACTACACAACACACGTCTATAATTCATCATTACACTCCTCTACCACTATTTATCACGTGCCTTATACTTCATCATTACACTCCTCTACCACTATATATCACGTGCCCTATACTTCACCATTAAACTCCTCTACCACTATATATCACGTGCCCTATACTTCACCATGACACTCCTCCACTACTATATATCACGGCCCTATACTTCACCATTCACTCCTTTACCACTACACAACACATGTCTATACTTCACCATTAAAATCCTCTACCACTATACAACACAAGTCTATACTTCACCATTCACTCCTCTACCACTATATATCACGTCCCTATACTTCACAATGCACTGCTCTACCACTACACAACACACGTCTATAATTCACCATTCACTCCCTTGCCACTACACAACACATGTCTATACTTCACCATTACACTCCTCTAACACTATTTATCACGTGCCCTATACTTCATCATTACACTCCTCTACCACTATATATCACGTGTTCTATACTTCACCATTACACTCCTTTACAACTACATAACACATTTCTATGCTTCACCATTTCACTCCTCTATTACTATAGATCACGTGCCCTATACTTCACCATTACACTCCTTTACCACTACAATTACATTTCTATTCTTCACCATTTCACTCCTCTATCACTATATATCACGTGTCCTATACTTCACCATTCACTCCTCTACCACTACTCAACACACGTCTATACTTCATCATTACACTCCTCTACCACTATTTATCACGTGCCTTATACTTCATCATTACACTCCTCTACCACTTTATATCACGTGTTCTATACTTCACCATTACACTCCTTTACGACTATATATCACGTGCCCTATACTTCACCATTACACTCCTTCACTACTATATATCACGGCCCTATATTTCACCATTCACTCCTTTACCACTTCACAACACATGTCTATACTTCACCATTAAGATCCTCTACCACTATACAAAACAAGTCTATACTTCACCATTCACTCCTCTACCACTATATATCACGTCCCTATACTTCACAATTCACTGCTCTACCACTATACATAAAGTGCCCTATACTTCACCATTCACTGCTCTACCACTACACAACACACGTGTATTCTTCACTATTCACTCCTTTACCACTACACAACACATGTCTATACTTCACTATTCACTCCTCTACCACTATATATCACGTGCCCTATACTCCACCATTTACTCCTTTACCACTACACAGAACACGTCTATAATTCACCATTCACTCCTTTACCACTACAAAACACATGTCTATACTTCACTATTCACTCCACTACCACTATATATCACGTGCCCTATACTCCACCATTTACTCCTTTACCACTACACAGCACACGTCTATAATTCACCATTCACTCCTTTACCACTACACAACACAACCATTACACTCCTTTACCACTACAATTACATTTCTATTCTTCACCATTTCACTCCTCTATCACTATATATCACGTGTCCTAGTCTATACTTCACTATTGACTCCTCTACCCCTATATATCACGTGCCCTATATTTCACCATTCACTCCTTTTCCACTACACAACATATGTCTATACTTCACTATTCGCTCCTTTACCACTACACAGCACACGTCAATATATCACGTGTCCTATACTTCACCATTACACTCCTTTACTACTATATATCACGTGCCCTATACGCCCCCATTTACTCCTTTACCACTACAGAACACATGTCTATACTTCACCATTCATTCCTCTACCACTATAACTATATATCACGTGTCCTGTACTTCACTATTTCACTCCTCCACCACTATATATCAAACACACGTCTATAATTCCCCGTTCAATCCTCTCCCACTCCACAACACATGTCTATAATTCACCATTCACCCCTTTACCACTACAAAACACAGGTCTATACTTCACTATTCACTCCTCTACCACTATATATCACGTGTCCTATACTTTATGATTACACTCCCCTACCACTACACAACACCCATTTACTCCTCCACCACAATATATCACGTGTCCTATACTTCATCATTACACTCCTCTACCACTATATATTACGTGCCCTATACTTCACCATTACACTCATCCACCACTATATATCACGTGTCCTATACTTTATCATTACACTCCCCTACCACTACACAACACCCATTTACTCCTCCACCACAACATATCATGTCCTATACTTCACCATTACACTCCTCTACCCCTATATATCACTTGTCCTATACTTCACCATTACATTCCTCCACCACTATATATCACGTGCACTATACTTCACTATTCAATCCTCCACCACTATATATCACGTGTCCTATACTTCATCATTACACTCCTCTACCACTATTTATCACGTGCCCTATACTTCATCATTACACTCCTCTACCACTATTTATCACGTGCCCTATTCTTCATTATTACACTCCTCTACCACTATATATCACGTGCCCTATATTTCACCATACACTCCTTTACCACTATATATCACGTACCCTATATTTCACCATTTCGCTCCTCCACCACTATATATCACGTGCCCTATACTTCACCATTTCACTCCTCACCACTACACAACACACGTCTATACTTCACCATTCACTCCTTTACCACTACACAACACTTGTCTATACTTCACAATTACACTCATCTAAATATGTACCACTTCAAAAGAGATGTCTATACTACAAAATTTCATTTCTTCACCAATATATATCACGTGCTCTATACTTAACCATTACACTCCACTACCATTATATATCACGTGCACTATACTTCTACATTTTACTCCTTCTACCACTATTTATCACGTGCCCTATACTTCATCATTACACTCCTTTACAACAACATAACACATTTCTATGCTTCACCATTTCACTCCTCTATTACTATATATCACGTGCCCTATACTTCACCATTCACTCCTCTACCACTATATATCACGTCCCTATACTTCACAATTCACTGCTCTACCACTATACATCACGTGCCCTATACTTCACCATGACACTCCTTTACAACTACATAACACATTTCTATGCTTCACCATTTCACTCCTCTATCACTATATATCACGTGCCCTATACTTCACCATTTCACTCCTCACCACTACACAACACACGTCTATACTTCATCATTACACTCCTCTACCACTATATATCACGTGCCCTATACTTCATTATTACCCTCCTCTACCACTATAAATCACGTGCCCTATACTTCACCATTGCACTCCTTTACCACTACAATTACATGTCTATGGTTCACCATTTCACTCCTCTATCACTATATATCACGTGCCCTATACTTCACCATTTCACTCCTCACCACTACACAACACACGTCTATACTTCACAATTCACTCCTTTACCACTACACAACACATGTCTATACTTCACCATTCACTCCTTTACCACTACACAACACATTTCTATGCTTCACTATTCACTCCTCCACCACTATATATCACGTGTCCTATACTTCATCATTACACTCCCCTAACACTACACAACACCCATTTACTCCTCAACCACAATATATCACGTGTCCTATACTTAATCATTACACTCCTCTCCCACTATATATGACGTGCCCTATACTTCACCATTACACTCCTCCACCACTATATATCACGTGTCCTATACTTTATCATTACACTCCCCTACCACTAAACAACACCCTTTTACTCCTCCACCACAATATATCATGTCCTATACTTCACCATTACACTCCTCTACCTCTATATATCACGTGTCCTATACTTCACCATTACATTCCTCCACCACTATATATCACGTGCCCTATACTTTACCATTACACTCCTTTAAAACTATATAACACATTTCTATGCTTCACCATTTCACTCCTCTATTACTATATATCACGTGCCCTATAATTCTTCATCATTACACTCCTCTACCACTATTTATCACGTGCCCTATACTTCACCATTACACTCCTCCACTACTATATATCACACTATATATCACGTGCCCTATATTTCACCATTCACTTCTTTACCACTATATATCACGTACCCTATACTTCACCATTACACTTCTCAACCACTTTATATCACGTGCCCTGTACTTCACCATTTCGCTCCTCCACCACTATATATCACGTGCCCTATACTTTACCATTACACTCCTTTAAAACTATATAACACATTTCTATGCTTCACCATTTCACTCCTCTATTACTATATATCACGTGCCCTATACTTCATTATTACACTCCTCTACCACTATATATCACGTGCCCTATACTTCACCATTACACTCCTTTACCACTACAATTATATTTCTATGCTTCACCATTTCCCTTCTCTATCACTATATATCACGTGTCCTATACTTCAACATTCACTCCTCTACCACTATTTATCCCGTGCCCTATACTTCATCATTACACTCCTCTACCACTATATATCACGTGTCCTATACTTCACCACTACACTCCTTTACTACTATATATCACGGCCCTATACTTCACCATTCACTCCTTTACCACTACACAACACATGTCTATACTTCACCATTAAATTCCTCTACCACTATACAACACAAGTCTTCACTTCACCATTTACTCCTCTACCACTATATATCACGTCCCTATACTTAACAATTCACTGCTCTACCACTATACATCACGTGCCCTATACTTCACCATTCACTCCTTTACCACTACACAACACACGTCTATTCTTCACTATTCACTCCTTTACCATTACACAACACATGTCTATACTTCACTATTTACTCCTCTACCCCTATATACCACGTGTCCTATACTTCACCATTACATTCCTCTACCACTATATATCACGTGCCCTATACTTCACTATTCACTCCTCCACCACTATATATCACGTGTCCTATACTTCATCATTACACTCCTCTACCACTATACATCACGTGCCCTATACTTCACCATGACACTCCTTTACAACTACATAACACATTTCTATGCTTCACCATTTCACTCCTCTATTACTATATATCACGTGCCCTATACTTCATTTTTACACTTCTCTACCACTATATATCACGTGTCCTATATTTCACCATTACACTCCTTTACCACTACAATTATATTTATATGCTTCACCATTTCACTCCTCTATCACTATATATCACGTGTCCTATACTTCAACATTCACTCCTCTACCACTATTTATCCCGTGCCCTATACTTCATCATTACACTCCTCTACCACTATACATCACGTGCCCTATACTTCACCATTCACTCCTTTACCACTACACAACACACGTCTACACTTCATCATTACACTCCTCTACCACTATTTATCACGTGTTCTATGCTTCACCATTACACTCCTTTACGACTATATATCACGTGCCCTATTCTTCAACATTACACTCCTCTACCACTATATATCACGTGCCCTATACTTCACCATGACACCTCCACTACTATATATCACGGCCCTATACTTCACCATTCACTCCTTTACCACAAAACAACACATGTCTATACTTCACCATTAAATTCCTCGACCACTATACAACACAAGTCTATACTTCACCATTCACTCCTCTACCACTATATATCACGTGCCCTATACTTCACCATTCACTCCTCTAATCACGTGTCCTATACTTCACCATTACATTCCTCCACCACTATATATCACGTGCCCTATACTTCACTATTCACTCCTTTACCACTACACAACACACGTCTATAATTCAACCACTATACATCACGTGCCCTATATTTCACTATTCACTCCTTTACCACTACACAACACATGTCTATACTTCACTATTTCCTCCTCTACCCCTATATATCACGTGTCCTATACTTCACCATTACATTCCTCCACCTCTATATATCATGTGCCCTATACTTCACTATTCACTCCTCCACCACTATATATCACGTGTCCTATACTTCATCATTACACTCCTCTACCACTATACATCACGTGCCCTATATTTCACCATTCACTCCTTTACCACTATATATCACGTACCCTATACTTCACCATTACATTTCTCAACCACTATATATCACATGTCCTGTACTTCACCATTTCGCTCCTCCACCACTATATATCACGTGCCCTATACTTCACTATTCACTTCTCAACCACTATATATCACGTGTCCTGTACTTCACCATTTCGCTCCTCCACCACTATATATCACGTGCCCTGTACTCTACCATTATACTCCTCCACTACTATATATCACGTGCCCTATACTTCACCATTTCACTCCTCCACCACTACACAACACACGTCTATACTTCACCATTCACTCCTTTACCACTACACAACACATGTCTATACTTCACAATTACACTCATCTAAATATATACCACTTCAAAAGAGATGTCTATACTGCAAAATTTCACTTCTTCACCAATATATATCACGTGCTCTATACTTAACCATTACACTACACTACCATTATACTTCACGTGCCCTATACTTCTACATTTTACTCCTGCTACCACTATATATCACGTGCCCTATACTTCACTATTACACTCCTTTAAAACTACATAACACATTTCTATGCTTCACCATTTCACTCCTCTATTACTATATATCACGTGCCCTATACTTCACCATTCACTCCTCTACCACTTTTTATCACGTGCCCTATACTTCACCATTCAATCCTTTACCACTACACAACACATGTCTATAATTCACCATTCACTCCTTTTCCACTACACAACAACCACTATACAACACAAGTCTATACTGCACCATTCATTCCTCTACCACTATACAACACACGTCTTTACTTCACCATTTACTCCTCTACCACTACACAACACACGTCTATACTTCACTATTCACTCCTCTCCCACTATATATCACGTCCCTATACTTCACAATTCACTGCTCTACCACTATATATCTCGTGCCCTATACTTCACTACACAACACATGTCTATACTTCTCTATTCACTCCTCTACCACTATATATACATCACGTGCCCTATACTTCACAATTAAATCCTTTACCAATACACAACAAACGTCTATAATTCACCATTAACTCCTTTACCACTACACAACACAGGTCTATACTTCACTATTCACTCCTCTCCCACTATATATCACGTGCCCTATCCTTCCCCATTCACTCCTCTACCACTTTTTATCACGTACCCTATACTTCACCATTCAATACTTCACTATTTACTCCTCTACCACTATATATCACGGCCCTATACTTAACCATTCACTCCTTTACCACTCCACAACACATGTCTATACTTCCCCATTAAAATCCTCTACCACTATACAACACAAGTCTATACTTCACCATTCATTCCTCTACCACTATACAACACAAGTCTATACTTCACTATTCACTCCTCTACCACTATATATCACGTCCCTATACTTCACAATTCACTGCTCTACCACTATACATCACGTGCCCTATACTTCACCATTCACTCCTCTACCACTACACAACACACGTCTATTCTTCACAATTCATTCCTTTACCATTACGCAACACATGTCTATACTTCACTATTTACTCCTCTACCACTATATATCACGTGCCCTATACTTCACCATTCAATCCTTTACCACTACACAACACACGTCTATACTTCACCATTCACTGCTCTACCACTATACAGCACGTGCCCTATTCTTCATCATTACACTCCTCTACCTCTATATATCACGTGCCCTATCCTTCACCATTCAATCCTTTACAACTACACAACACACGTCTATACTTCACTATTTGCTCCTCTACCACTATATTATATCACGTGCCCTATCCTTCACCATTCAATCCTTTACAACTACACAACACACGTCTATACTTCACCATTGACTCCTCTACCACAATATATCGGGGGCCTATACTTCACCATTCACTGCTCTACCCCTATATATCACGTGTCCTATACTTCATCATTACACTCCTCTACCTCTATATATCACGTGTCCTATACTTCACCATTACACTCCTCCACTACTATATATATATATCACGTACCCTATACTTCACCATTAAAATCCTCTCCCACTATACAACACAAGTCTATACTTCACCATTCACTCCTCTACCACAATATATCACGTCCCTATACTTCACCATTCACTGCTCTACCACTATATATCTCGTGCCTTTTACTACACCATTCACTCCTTTACCACTACACAACACACGTCTATATTTCACCATTCACTCCCTTGCCACTGCACAACACATGTCTATACTTCACCATTACACTCCTCTACTACTATATATCACGGCCCTATACTTCACCATTCACTCCTTTACCACTACACAACGCATGTCTATACTTCACCATTAAAATCCTCTACCACTATACAACACACGTCTATACTTCACCATTCACTTCTCTACCACTGTATATCACGTGCCCTATACTTCACCATTCACTCCTCTACCACTACACAACACATGTCTATAATTCACCATTCACTCCTTTTCCACTATACAACACAAGTCTATACTTCACCATTCACTCCACTACCACTATATATCACGTCCCTATACTTCAACATTCACTGCTCTACCACTATATATCTCGTGCCCTATACTTCACCATTCATTCCTTTACCACTACACAACACACGTCTATAATTCGACATTCACTCCTTTGCCACTACACAACACATGTCTATACTTCACCATTACACTCCTCTACTACTATATACCACGGCCCTATACTTCACCATTCACTCATTTACCACTACACAACGCATGTCTATACTTCACCATTAAAATCCTCTACCACTATACAACACACGTCTTTACTTCACCATTTACTCCTCTACCACTACACAACACATGTCTATAATTCACCATTCACTCCTTTTCCACTACACAACACATGTCTATACTTCACTATTCACTCCTCTACCACTATATATCACGGCCCTATACTTTACTATTCACTCCTCTACCACTATATATCACGTGCCCTATACTTCACCATTCACTCCTTTACCACTACACAACACACGTCTATAATTCACCATTCACTCCTTTACCACTACAAAACACATGTCTATACTTCACCATTACACTCCTCCACTACTATATATCACGGCCCTATACTTCACCATTCACTCCTTTACCACTACACAACACATGTCTATACTTCACCATAAAAATCCTCTACTACTATACAACACACGTCTATACTTCACCATTCACTCCTCTACCACTACACAACACATGTCTATACTTCACTATTCACTCCTCTACCACTATATATGACGTGCCCTATACTTCACCATTCACTCCTTTACCACTACACAACACACGTCTATAATTCACCATTCACTCCTTTACCACTACACAACACATGTCTATACTTCACTATTAACTCCTCTACCACTATATATGACGTGCCCTATACTTCACCATTCACTCCTTTACCACACCACAACACACGTCTATAATTCACCATTCACTCCTTTACCACTACACAACACATGTCTATACTTCACTATTCACTCCTCTACCACTATATATCACGTGCCCTATACTTCACCATTCACTCCTTTACCACTACACAACACACGTCTATAATTCACCATTCACTCCTTTACCACTACACAACACATGTCTATACTTCACTATTCACTCCTCTACCACTATATATCACGTGCCCTATACTTCACCATTCACTCCTTTACCACTACACAACACACGTCTATAATTCACCATTCACTCCTTTACCACTACACAACACATGTCTATACTTCACTATTCACTCCTCTACCACTATATATCACGTGCCCTATACTTCACCATTCACTCCTTTACCACTACACAACACACGTCTATAATTCACCATTCACTCCTTTACCACTACACAACACATGTCTATACTTCACTATTCACTCCTCTACCACTATATATCACGTGCCCTATACTTCACCATTCACTCCTTTACCACTACACAACACACGTCTATAATTCACCATTCACTCCTTTACCACTACACAACACATGTCTATACTTCACTATTCACTCCTCTACCACTATATATCACGTGCCCTATACTTCACCATTCACTCCTTTACCACTACACAACACACGTCTATAATTCACCATTCACTCCTTTACCACTACACAACACATGTCTATACTTCACTATTCACTCCTCTACCACTATATATCACGTGCCCTATACTTCACCATTCACTCCTTTACCACTACACAACACACGTCTATAATTCACCATTTATTCCTTTACCACTTCACAACACACGTCTATACTTCACCATTCACTCCTTTACCACTACACAACACATGTCTATACTTCACTATTCACTCCTCTACCACTATAAATCACGTGCCCTATACTTCACCATTCACTCCTTTACCACTGCACAACACATGTCTATACTTCACCATTATAATCCTCTACCTCTATATATCACGTGCCCTATACTTCATCATTAAAATCCTCTACCACTACACAACACATCTCTATATTTAACCATTACACTCCTTTACCACTACACAACACATGTCTATATTTCACCATTAATATCCTCTACCACTACACAACACACGTCTATAATTCACCATTCACTCCTTTACCACTACACAACACATGTCTATACTTCACTATTAAAATCCTCTACCACTATACAACACACGTCTATACTTCACCATTCACTGCTCTACCACTATATTTCACGTCCCTATACTTCACTATTCACTGCTCTACCACTATATATCACGTGCCCTATACTTCACCATTCACTCCTCTACCACTACACAAGACACGTCTTTGCTTCACCATTCACTCCTGTACCACTACACAACACACGTCTATACTTCACTATTCACTCCTCTACCACTATATATCACGTGCCCTATACTTCCCCATTCACTCCTCTACCACTACACAAGACACGTCTTTGCTTCACCATTCACTCCTGTACCACTACACAACACACGTCTATACTTCACTATTCACTCCTCTACCTCTATATATCACGTGCCCTATACTTCACCATTCACTCCTTTACCACTGCACAACACATGTCTATAATTCACCATTAGAATCCTCTACCACTAAATATCACGTGCCCTATACTTTATCATTAAAATCCTCTACCACTACACAACACATCTCTATATTTAACCATTACACTCCTTTACCACTACACAACACATGTCTATACTTCACCATTTCACCCCTCTGGCACTTTACAACACGTGCCCTATACTTCACCGTTCACTCCTCTACGACTACACAACACATGCCATATCCTTCACCATAACACGTCTTAAGCCTACCAAGCACACACGTACCTCTACTACTAAATATCCACGCTCTATACTTCATCATACTACCTTTCTTTCACTACCCAGCACATGTTTCTTCCATTCCCTATGCACTGAACACCAAGTTCGGGTAATGTTTGTTAATCAATGTATGCGTGATTGTTATTTGGCTCGTGTCATTCGATGAATGTTGGTGGATGGTATAAATATATCAGATAATGTCAGTTTGTATTGTTTTACTTCATCTTCCAACGCATTACTCCAGATGTGATAATTATGCTTGCATAAACAGTCAACAAAGAGGCATATTTATCAATATTTATGACAGTGTTGTATTATGCTGCCAGGGTTGAAGGCATAGTACATGACCCAAAACAGTATGATTTCAACCGTGGCAAGTATTTTGGCATCACATTCCATCACTCATGCTTTTATTATTTGTCTAATTATAAACAATTGAACAATTCAATTAAAAATCGGTAAGGTTCCCCCCTGCCAATCTGCAGACTTGCAGCAATTTTAAGAACGACGTCGATTTGACTAAAATCGAGTTTGTCGTTCGAAGTAGAGATACATTATGCCATGTCATTCAATTCAATCAAAAACAACCCGATTCGGCATTTTACAACAGCCGTCAACGCCTATGGAGTGTGAAAAAGGGAAAGTCGATTACTGCAACATATAGCAAGATCAGCATCACAAACTCGTTTCACCATCAATATCCACGTAATTAACCATACGAATATAGTGTTAAATATTTCTGTTGAGGAAGTTACACACAGAAGGGTGATATATGCAACTTAGTGTACATTATACAGCGTTAATTTACTATAAGATAATGATTTATTTCTGATCGGCTGTCGTATCGCCTCTCTCCAGCACTAAAGGTGCCATTGATAACGACATCATCCCGTGTCCTTAGGCGACTACAGCGTCGTGTTTCAATACAAACATTTACTCTATATGAATCATGTCGTCCGTCCAAAGCCACAGGGTCGCAGTTTGGCATGAAACTCTCTGCCGAGTTCGTTTTGTGTTACTTGAATGTTTATAAAAATTCCGAATACTGATAAAAAATAGTGATGTTTTGCTTCTTTACACAACTTTTTCAAAAAGTACATATAGTTGCAAAGTTAAAGCATAGTACGCGACCCCGTAAGTTTATTTCATAGACTACTAAACGACAACACTATGTCAAAAACGAGAATGTCAAGATGATAAACCGAGGTTAAAGTCGCCAGAATTATGATTGCCTGTTGGCATTTCCGTTGCGAAAAGAAATGAGCTCGTCTCCTTGCGTCCTTTTTTTGGCTTTCGTGTGAGGCTAACTATATTAATGGGCATGTCAGGAGTAGTAGCAAAAACTTTGTGAAGTCCTTCATGGTCGCTTTCAAAACTGTCAGCCCCTTAAGTAACAAGAGCTTGATTGACCTTATTGATAGTATATACCGTCCCAAATTTGAAATTAATGACTTTACTGTATCAACTTCTTACTTCATTTTTTTTCATACAAAATAACCAACAGACACGTCTTACTATTAAGCTGTCCGATAGGGGTGATGATGTTTATTCTGCAATCATGAACTTTTCAATTTCTCAAAAAGAATACCAATGCTTTCCACTAGTACGGTGTTTAGGTGTTGCAGTTGACCTAATATCTAGTCAAGATAGGAGGCACGATAGTTTAGTGGTTGGACGCCGGGCTTGTGACCGAAGAGTTGCGAGTTCGAGTCATAGCACGGCACTGTGTTGTATCTTTGAACAAGACACTTTACTTCGATTGTTCAGTCTACTCAGCTGTAAATGAGTACGTGGTCGGGCAGTGATATAATTGTTAAATGAGAGCTGTGAGCGCCGAAATGGCAGCACTGGCTGTATGATGCACATGGTTTTGATAAAGATGTTGGCTGGTAGCAAAGGCCCTATAACCACAGATAATAATTTGTGAACCGCTTTGAGACGACCTACGGACTATGTTGTGATAAAGCGGTATACAAGAACCTCCAAATCTTCTTATGATTTTTAAAAATCAGGTGTTCTTCCGAGAAATTGATACGGTCATTGGTTTGTACACGTGGCTATATTTTAGGATGTCGACATAAGCATTCACGAATCTTTGTAAAATTAAGAAATGTGTTCCAGTATACTTTAAAAAAAATAATGATTGTAAAAATATCCTTGTGTCAGCAGACCCATATAATGTTTTGAAACTAGCAGAATCCATATCGTTTATAGTGTTTTACATAGAAATATTGAAAAACAAGTGCAGTGTTCAATAACATAACTGTCAACCATGATTACGTCATTGCAGCGTGAGTTTTAATGCAGGAACATATCTAGGACATGCAACCTCTTACACGTGTCTGCAAGATGTCCAATTCCATAGGTTGAGCTATAAAACTAAACTGCCTAGGTAAGAAGTGTCTTGTGCACGTGAATAGCTTGAACGCCTGTAGATGCCCTCGTCCACCAGTGTGGTGTATTTATATATATAAACCGGAGCTACGCTTTGCAGTATGTATACAATGTCATTATTATGACCACATGTTTCGGTACGCAAAGGACAAACAGATGTATTTGGCATTGCCGTGCAATATTGAGGATGACAGGAGACTTGAGACTCCGTATCCGGTTTCGAACCTATTAGAGGACCACGTTAGTAATAATACGCCACACGACCGACACCATTAAGTGGGCCTTGAATCTCTGAGAAAATATTTTGATAAATTTGTGATATACGTAAGCTTAATTTTGTTTGTTTTTGTATTTTTTGTATTTTTCAGATTTTTTTTACATACAATGCAAAGTACATTTGTATTAGCTGAAAATCTCACACACACTAACCCGCTTCCACTTTCACACACACAATTATCGATTGTCATTTTAATACATTTTTCCAATGTTTACATTTACAATGCATTTGTATGAGGAAAGCAGAAAAGGAAAGGTTAATAAAAAGA